GACCGTGATGTGCTGATCGCCACTAAATTGACCACATAATCCCATCATGAGATGACGTCACAAGGCAGCTTAATAACGAAAGCCATAGTAAGATAATTATGCTGTCAAATAATTTGAACTAAACAGTTCATTTTTCATTAGTAAAAAGCAACTACAAAGCGTTCCTAATCAGCCTTCCCACTAGGGACATATGTTCAGGCATACAATCCCATTGTTGATTATCATACCAGAGTTGATAGTAGTTTCATTGTTATAAACACAAAGTAGTGCAGTGTCATGCATAATCGAAAGTATGATCATGCAATTATTACAAATTAAGATAAACTACAGTAAATGAATCATCACCAAAATCTAAAGGTGAAGGCCTCACTGCCACGCCCACTCCTTACCTTCGGGGTTCCCCTTATTCTCACTATATCTTGAGGGGTCTAAAAATAGAGTGTGAGTGGATCAAGTATATCTAGTTAAAACTTTAAATCATTCGAAAGCAATAACTCCCGTTTTAAAAATCACATATATAGTAAAAAGCTACATACATATGATACTACCATGATAGTGATCAGGTTCATAACATTATCACATCACTCATTATATCAAAGAAAGTAAGTCCATTCACACAATCAAAGTAAATCAAATGTATATCAAGCAGGTGAAATGGCCTCTACCTAGTCGATAACGAGCATCTATTGGAATTTAGACTCTACTAGAAATATAACTAAGTACCTACGACCGCAGCTAACTATATGATATGTATGATGACCATGTGGTGAAAATAAATCACCAATAATCTCTAGATATCATTTAAGTTTAACAAGATCTCGGTTGACCTCGACACCGTAGCTGGAGTACAGCCGGAACTGTAGAATATGTAGATAACGGTTAAGGCTTCCCCCCAGCTGGATTTCAACACATTTTTGCTCCAAAATTACATAAAACGTAGTTAAAATGCCTAGGAGCTCACCTAATATCGTTTTAGGACAATGAGAGGCCGAATCCACCGGATTCGACAACTTCCCTTCGAACTAGCTCGCCGGGAACTGGGCAACACATGGAGAACACATAGGAATTTACAGAGCCTCTCTGACTCGATTTTCATCATTACACACACATACCAACAGTCCATAAACTTACCAGAAGAAGATTGGAGGATTTAGTGGAGGAATTGGCTTCGAACTTGTCGGAGTTCGTCTGTTGCTCCTCGTCGGAAACTGCAGATGGAGATCGGTGCATGCTGTTGGAATTTTTGATTGGGTATTTCAAAATACAACTCTTCATTAGCAACTTTAATATTATTCAATTTGTTTTAAAGTCTTTATTTCAGTTTTTTTGGTTTTTTTATTTATTTTTATTTGTAAAACTAAAAACTGAAGCATTAACTAATTTGTAATCGTTATGGCTATAAAGGCCAACGTTCTAGACCTTGTTAAATGGCCTTCTTGTATAGCCTTTTTGTCTTATATGTAATAAGGAAAACTAACGAAAAGTCTAAAAACTTTAGTTTTAATGAAAAATGACAAATAAAGGTGTAGTAAATAGTACCAGGAAAAGGTAAAAATATTGATTTTTCGTTGAAGGTGAACAGTACCGGAAGTGTTTCGTTAAAACTCTTGTAATAATATCATCCTCTCTTTGAGGCAAAGGCGAGTTTTTGAGGAGTAATCATCTCTTTCCTTCAACGGACAAACCCCATCTAGTTAAAAACAATCCCACCATCTTCTCCTCTCCCAATTTCTTCTATTATCTCAAATGCTATTATAATTTCCACTTTTTATATGCCAAACAATGTATTAAAAGCGTGAGGCCTCCGAGGGATAGCCCAACCTAGGCGTGAGGTGAAGTCTCACGGAACCTAAATTTTTTAATATATACACTGAGCGTACACATATATTATATTAAAAAAAAAGATTATTAATCAATAATCACCCTGAGCACACACATATATTATAATATATACACACACACATATATATACATATATTATATTATGTGTGTGTGTGTGTATAAAATAGAGGATGAAAAGCACACTAAGCACATATATAATAATGCACGCAGACAGCACACACATCCATTATATATAAAAAAAAATCAGGAAAAAAGAGGTAGAGAAACGATAGTGCAAGGAAGAGATATGAGGCAGTTAAAACCCTACCCAAAATTTGGGTTTAGGAGTAAAAAAAAAAAAAAAAAAAAAAAAAATCAAAATCCCCATAGGCGTGTCTAGGCGTCAACCCTCAAGCCTAGCCTCACAGGGCGTCTAGGTACACCCTAATGCGAGCTTTTTAAAACATTGATGCCAAAGGAAAGAATCGAGTTATTCACTCAATTCAAGTGTTGCGAGTGTACGTTTATAAATATCATAGGTTGTTGTATCCTGAAAAGTAGGGCACCATAACCTGTTATACAGAGATATTGTCTTAGAGGGGCGAAAAGGCGTGTAGTCACTGTCTTTAAGAGTAGATTTCGAGACCCCTTTTGGGCTTGGAGGCCCATTTTTTGGCCCACCAACCGACCCAACTCAGGACCCCTCAATTTGAATCCAATTATTTGCTAGATTTTGGGATCTCCGTCTAAGAGCTTTTAGTGAAAACGTTTTTGGGTCCAAAAGCACTTTAAGTGATTTTTCAAGATTTACTTGCATTTTTAGTAAAGATTGATTCGAAAAACATTTTCTGTAGAAGCACTTTCAGACATTTTAAAAGCACATCAAACCTTAACCAGGTGAAATAGGCAATCGTCGAATGTTGCAGAGGGCAACCAACAAGATATCAGCCCCCGGCAATTTGCCTCCTTAACTCTTCGAACTGGTGATAAATGAAGTGGCGATTCTTTGGAGGTTGATGGCTTGGTGCGTCACAACCGTTCCCGGATCTTGCCATCTCCTCCCCGCGACATATCTCCGTCGGCGAGGGCTACGGTTGTGCAGCTCCGTCAAGAAAAATATTGAACCCTGACTCACTTGCATCTCGGCTCCTCAAAGCAAAATATTTTCCTCATAATTCATTTTGGGATGCGACTTTAGGCACTTCCCCATCGGCGTGTTGGAGAGGAATTTTTGAAGCCCGGTCACTTCTAGAAAGAGGGACATGCTGGAGGGTGGGTAATGGTCTGTCCATTCGCATTTGGCATGGTTGTTGGTTGAAGTCCTTACTGCTCGAGAGGGTATTTGCTGGGCTTTACAACAGAACCGGACACATGTTATTTTGGAGAGTGACGCTCTCCAGGTGGTTCAAGCACTTGGTAGCCTACAGGGGGGCTCCTCGCCTACTTACTTGCTGATTGAAGATATTCAAGTTAGTTTGAGAGGCCTTGACTCCTCCAAGGACTGCCACATCCGTCAATCCGCCAATATTGCGGCATACCAAATGGCCAAGCTGGCCTTAGTCTTAGATTTAAATTTTTGTTGGTTTGAAACCCTTCCGGACTTGATCAAGGATGTCCTCTTGAAAGATTGTATGCTTTCTTAAATTATTGAACAAAACCACTAAAGTTTATCTCTAAAAAAAAAAAAAAAAAAAAAAAAAAAAAAAACAGAGACATAGAGAGTCAGATTTATGCATTGGTTAATTAATTTTGACCTCCTTAAGTATAATTATTGTCAGCCTTATCACGCATCCAAAGCACGAAGAATGAATGAAGATCAAGTTGTAACAACGTTCTGTCACAAATGGATGTATGGGAGGCACGTAGCTGAATTTTGCTTTAAATATATATATATATATATATATTTTTTTTTTTTTTTTTCAACGAAGCTTTAAATATTCAAGTCTTAGTTTTTCGGGTGGTCCAATAATACGAAGTTAGGAAGGGCTTACTATAAAGTTCCACACATGCTTTCTAATCTAACCTCCGACCGGGCTAACTGATATATTTCATATTAAATTCACAAACATGCAACTGAGACCCCATGTTGTATTTTACTTTCTATTTTATTTTTTTGGTCCTAAGTCATAACTAGTGGTTTTTTTATTTTCACACAAGCGATAATGGGAGGAGGAATCGAACCTAAAGTGTAATGGAAAATACTATGACAGTCACCGAGTCACAAGCAAGTGATGGATTGTTTAGGTAAATAGGGCTTTCCTCTCCATCGCCTTAATGTATATTAATTTAACATGGCTTGTATTTTAAAAAAAATTCAAATAAATCACAAACCTCTTGCGAAAAATAAGTACTTTACACCAGATAAATCACCAATTTATACAAATGTCACTAAAGTGGAAATTACAAGAATAAAAATCAAATAACTAAAAATAAGGCAGATGGAGGTGATTTGATTAAAGTTGATGGGGAGTTGATGGAGATAATTGAGCAGGCTACGTGTGATTCATAAACGCATCATAACCACACATCATATGAATATTTTTTTTTTATTTTTGGTTCTATATCACAAGGGAATATTGATTAGTCAATACAAATGTTAACGTACATAAATATTTCCTTATTAATATTACAATTTAGTTTTTAATTTAGTCTGCCAAACTGTTTCCAAATTATTATTTTTCCCTTCTAAAGTTTGTATTATATTTCACATATTCAGATTCATATATATAACCCTGCCCCTGCAGAACCATATATACATTATGTTCATGTCCAACTAAGATACAGTCCACCTGTCTGAACTTCAACCATTTTTCCTTCTGGGTTTGTGCTGTTTAATCCATCACTCAAGAACTCGACGATCGAACGGCTAACATGTTGCATTTTCCATGATCATGTTCACTTCTGGGAAATCTTTTCTTTTAGAAAGAGAAAAGAGTAAGTGTTTGAAGATCAAAGGCAAATGCTATAAGGAGGGAGCTATTTCAAACGGTCGTCGGCCAACTTCAACAGTTCAAATTCAAATCCATGCATTAAAAGGTAAAAATAGACTGTTACAATATACCATTTGCTTTTTTCAATCGACCGTTTGCGTTTTAAATAATTTTCAGTTTTCACGCCTAAAAAATCCCTCCAAGATTGCTTTTTTGCTTTTAGATTTAGCTGCATATCAGTCAATAATTTATTTTTGGTCCTCTGATGAAAACAACGCATGACAAACCTCTTTTGCTTTTCCTTCAAAGCATAAAAAGAATCATACTTTTTTCTTCTTTTTGTTTGTTTCTGTTTATAGATTTGTCTTTCTGAATCTAAATTGTAGAATATAAACCAATTCCCAGGTTTCTTTTTTGGATTTTGAATCCTACCACAAACCCAAATTGTAACTTTTGTTAAATGACTAAAGTATTTGCAGGTTTTTGAGATTTAGACTTAGACCACAAGTTTTAGAGCTGAAATGGACAATTCACCAAGTTATGATGAACACTATGATCTGGGTTACCAGCCTTCACCTTCTTCTGTGGACCAAACTGATCATTCGCTCGCAGAAACTTCAACAAGTGGCGATTCTTTTATGTACCGCCGGACAAATTCAGAGACCTCGGCTTTCTCTGAGTCTCTGGATGACAGCAGCTACTCTGGTGAAGCTTCTCCCTGGTTCTGCCCAAATGTAAAATCCAACCGGGCGTCTCTTACCAGACTTGGAATGAAGCAGCATAACAAGAATGCCTCTGATGAAACGCTTCAAGATGACGACGCAGTTGATTCAGGTAGGTTTCAATAGTTTTGTTTATAAATAAGGAAATGATTTCTGCGCACCTTCCTTTTTCATGGCCTTTGGATTGAATAAATCGGAGGAGACGGAAATAAAGAGAGGTCTGCAGAAGGAGTAAAAACGTGTGCAGAAATCACTTCCCTCTCGAAATAACAATTTAAAAGCAGTAATAAGTAACTGTTTAACTGTTTATGAAATTGGCAGAGCTTGAGATGATGAAAGAACGATTTGCAAAGCTCTTGTTGGGTGAAGACATGTCAGGAAGTGGGAAAGGTGTATGCACCGCGGTCACAATATCAAATTCGATAACCAACCTCTACGGTAAATTTCTCTACCTTCAAATTTTGAAGATGCATATGATTATGAAGTAAACATGTTGATTTGTCGATTTCAATTTCAACGGGTCAACTTTTCGGATATTCTGCAGCCACTGTGTTTGGACAAAACTTGAGGCTGGAGCCACTGAATCCTGAGAAGAAAGCCATGTGGAAGAGGGAGATGAACTGTCTTCTGTCGGTCTGTGATTACATCGTAGAACTTATCCCCATATCACAAAACTTACAAGATGGGACAGAAGTGGAGGTGGTTGTCGAAAACCCGTCTTTGTTCGATTAGATTCTGCCATCTTTGCCTGTTTTTAACATAAAGTTCATTGGTTTTCAGTTCATGAAAAGCAGGCCAAGATCTGATCTTTATATCAACCTTCCAGCTTTGCAAAAGCTTGACGCAATGCTTATTGTAAGACTTGCCTTCTGCGGTAAAATATCGCATATTATTAACCCTTGGTTATTCAATCAAGCTCTGAAAGTTCGTGAATTTTTTCTTTGGGCAGGAAGTACTTGATAGTTTCCAGGATACAGAATTCTGGTATGCAGAAAAAGGGAGCATTTCATCAAATTCAACGCGTACAGGATCATTTCGAAGGGTGGTTGTTCAGCGGAATGAGGAGAAATGGTGGTTGCCGGTTCCATGTGTTCCTCCGGGAGGCCTCTCTGAGAAGGCAAGGAAACATTTGAAACACAAACGTGACAGTTCTAATCAAATCCACAAAGCAGCCATGGCAATCAATAGTAGTATTCTTGCTGAGATGGAAATCCCAGACTCATACATGTCAACTCTTCCAAAGGTAAGTCCTCAATCAACTAACATAAATATTGTTATGTTTTCGAAAACCCCTAGACTCCTTAGATACAAGGACGCGCCTGAGATTTTTGGGGTCTAAGACGAACAATTAAAATGGGGCGTGCATGTTCACACGAAAAATAAAATGCAAGTACCACAAATTTCGGGTGATGGGTTTAGTCCGAAAATCAAATTACATTGTCAAAACAGAAGGAGGTATTTCGATTTTTTGTTGATCAGGCGACACCCCAAATTTGAACATGAAACCTTTTGACTTGAAGTTGGTGTGTCAATATTTAACCCTATAGGAGTAATATTGGAAGAATATCAACCAATTAATGCCAAAAAGCTAGGGAAATGATTTCCGCACTCTTTTATCCTTTTGCACACGCCTCTTTATTTTTGATCTCCTAATTTCCCTTTGATTCATTCAATTTAAAGGTCAGAAATCAATACGAGTACGCATGTGAGAAAACAAGTGTGCGGAAATCACTTCTTCTTCCACCCTAGTTCGTTTTGTTACGTGTAAAGTAGTAGGCTTTATCTAACTTGGCTTTTCTCCTCTTCTACAAAACAATTTGTTTGTCAGAGTGGAAGAGCTTGTCTTGGAGACTCCATATACCGCTACATGTGCACCACAGACAAGTTCTCTCCAGACCACCTTCTGGACTGCCTTAACATAGCAACTGAACACGAAGCACTTGATCTTGCAGACAGGGTCGAAGCTTCGATGTACACGTGGAGACGTAAAGCGTGCATGAGCAACTCAAAATCTTCATGGATCATGGTAAAAGATCTAATGTCTGAAACAGACCGGAACGACAAGAATCATGTTTTGGCGGAGAGAGCCGAGTGTTTGCTGTTGTGTTTGAAGCAGAGATATCCTGAGCTCTCTCAGACATCCTTGGATACTTGCAAAATCCAATGCAATAAGGTAAGCACTCACACAGTCAATAAATCCATCTAAATCACACGAAACATACTCGACGGACTCTAAATTAGTTCACCAAACAACGTGACAGATAACATGACAATATCTTGTCAGAAAACGAGTAAAACGCGATCACTTGGAGCACGGGTAAAATTTTGACTAATTGATCAAAGTGTTTGTTATCGGCGGTTTTTGCAGGATGTGGGGCAATCAGTACTGGAGAGCTACTCAAGAGTGTTGGAGAGTTCGGCATTCAACATTGTTGCTTGGATTGACGACGTAATTTGTGTCGAGAGATCCGCGAGAAACCAAGACAAATAGAGAGACTCCGATGCAATCGAGTTCAACCATTCTTGTCAAATCTACCCGCTTGATTACACGAATTTTGAAACAATTTAACTTGGGCCGCTTATTTACTTGTATTTTAAGCTAATTTTTAGTACTCGGCCATGAATCTGTACATTGGCATCCAGTAAAACAAATCAAACAAATTTTAAGTTTGTTGTAGAACTCCTATTCTGATATGAAATCCTCTATTCCATGAAGCTTGCATGAAACACAAAAATGAAACGAACCGGAGTCCCGGCTGTTGCCCCGGTTACGAGGACTTGTATATTATTCCTGACGGAAGAAAACTCAGCAGCGGACACGAACCGTGGTTGCGGAGACTCTTTCCATTAAGATTATCGGACACACAGCAAGAGCGCGAAACCATTTCTACCGTATCAAGAAAAGAAATCCGATGACATTTCATTCCATGATCATAACATTTTGTTCACAAGATTGACAGCAGCATCGCACAATTACCTCTTTATACTTGCAATTGTAACAAATTCAACCGCGAAAGTAATTTTCGTTGGGAAGTAGTAAAGATCATGTCAAAATAGCATACACAAAATACTACAGCACCATTGCAACCTTGAACTTCCAAGCAGAGATCTCTGTAGGAAATCACCATTACATATATGAATCGAATACTCGGCACAGACTAAGCGTTCATCACAAACAAGTTTCGTTGAAATGCATAACATCCATCCAATAATACCAACGATAATGCTGGAAAAATACAACGCTATAAAATACGTCACACCTTTTGGGATGACTAACTAAATGAAGTAGAAAGAGAACGTGAATTCGATGCATAGTCACTACCAATTGAAATTGAAGAATCAATCAATCTTCCTGAAAATCCCAAGTAAACTATAAGCTCCTTTGCTTTTGAATCTGACCAGATTAAACGTGGACAAGACATCCAAATGAACCTTCAACCATTCCTAAAGCTTATTTCGTACGACAAGACCGATAAACTAAAGCAGGTGAGGTTTGTGTTTTTCTGACACTGCGGTGCTCTCCATTCCACTACTAGCATCTACCAGTATTCCTTGTTTCCTTGATTATATTTAACAAATCATATCCATCTTCATCGACAACACACAGGGAAAGGACCATTTTCAGACAATAGAATAAATGTAAATGTATATAATAATCATTAGACAACATAAATATGGAAATATGTAATATGCATGTGAGTTTTTTTTGTTTGTGCAGGCACACGTTTGTGTGTACATGAGTGAGAGAAAGAGAGAGAGAGAGAGAGAGAGAGAGAACGTAGAGATTGATTATAAGGGGAAAAAAGAACAGCTACATATCATTCTGCAGATATCTTACTCAGATCAATTGGTAAAGTGAACAAATCATCTATATATACAACAGACCTCTGAACAGCATGGAGGAGGTGCACGGTTGGATGGGGGGTGATCGAAGGGTTAGTAGTCAAGCAGCCAAAAGACCTGGTTGTATGGGCTGAATAAGAACATCTCCAAATTTCTTCCAAAAGGACCCCGTGCGTCCTTCCAAAAAAATTCCCTCTCAACAGATTCTCCATCATCAAAGAAATGGACCCGCACAACACGGTGATACTGATGCCAATTATGCACAGTGAATGTAAACATTAAGTTACCTGCTGAGGGGGTTCTCATTCCGGACAAAATCAACAACAAAATTTTCTTTTGAACTCAGCTGTCATCATCCACAGCACCAATGTATGTGAGATCCTTTCGTCTCACCCTCACGGCCCCCTTGAGCCAGCTAGATGCTCGAAGATTGCCATGGTCCACACTGCCTATCAAAGCACTATTACTTGAAGATGGGCCTGAACCTGCACCATCTTCCAGCAGTGTCCATGGGTCAATATCCATATCATAATCCTGTGATGGCAACGGTTTAAATTTCCCCGGTACGTTAGTTACTATCCGAGCCAGAGGAGCCTGATTTCTTTGAGGTGGGTTTGAGCTTCCAGCATGCAACCCAGAAACCAATATGCTGGGTTGAAGAATGGCCAAAGCAGTATCTGGAACAGGTGGTGGTTGGCAAGAGACAAGGCGCTGAACAGAAGGGATAACCACTGGCATTGCAGTTTGGATACGCCAGCGAATCATTTCAGGAAGTTGCATACGATCTAAGTCTTTCTGCATTCACAAGTACACATATAAGACAGGTAGAAAACCAATTACCTAAACTGAAATTCTTAAATCAATATTAACTAATGAAAAGACAATGGCGAAAGTGTACTAACACTCAACAAGACACGGAATATATAAACGGATATTTTTTAATTTAATTAATTTTGTCGAAAATCCCATCACAGCTATATTCATGCAGTAAGGTTCATGGAATGCAAACTTATAATGCCATATACATCACTTGACATAACTTCAAAAGAGGGGAGTGGCGGAGGACTTTGAAACAATGAAATTATTTTTTTTCATGGTTAACTAAAATTGAAAATGACCGTGCCCACTCTATATAGTGGTAGAACTTTGGCACTTTCTTTTTCCTTTCTTGGAGCGCAGGGTATGTTCTATAAAGCTTACAAGAAGTTTCTAATGTAACTTATAACATACCACTACTACTTCCAAAAGAGAAGCACTTTAAAACTTTGCCTTCCCTCCTTTCTTTTCTTTCCCATTTTTATTTTTTGTAGGACACGGTTGGGGTGAGGATATGAAGAAGGTTACAGAAGAGCAAACCTGCAAATTGTCTGCCAGTTCACGATCAAATGCAGCTAAATCTTTTCCCCCCTCATTCGCTGACTTCGTATACCTCAACCAACTTGGCTGGCAACTGCTTAACAGCCCATGCAGAACGAACAATAATTGGTCAAAGAGACTTTCATTTGACAATTCTGCAAAAGCTGCAGAGGCAGCTTCTGTTGAAGACTCTGCATCCCTCTTAGAGAAAGTACTCTGTATGATATTGAAGCATAGGTCTGCACCCTCGTGCACAACTCGGTTTCCTAGAAGACGTAGTACTACAGAGGCAAGCCCATGCCTCATGTTCCGGCCAGATGGCTCCCTGACAGATCCAACATGTTTAAATTAGTCTATCTGGTGAACATATTCAGCATTTATCTATAATCATGAGCAAACCATCACAACACATACTGCATACAAATGCTGAAAAGGTAACACTAAACCAAGCAAGAACTTCATCTTACAAAAGGCATGTATATCTAGGCTAAAATAACCAAATTACAACAGTCAGGGCAACTGAAGACCCTGAGAATACACCAAATATTTTTAGTGATAGAAAATTATAAGTGGCATAAGAAAGGAAATTTCTTGCTTTTAACCATATAGAACAACTGTATTTTTTTCATTTCAGATCTTTCTTACTTAGTTATGGTTGGATTCTTGAAGGATAAAGTACTAACTGAAATCATTAACGAATGTCAAGAGGGTATTGCATCACAAGCAAACTCTTAGTTAACTTGGTACCAAGTTTTATGGGGTTAAAGTGTCTTTTACCCTACAACATTTCTATACATAGAGAACATAAAGAGAGAAGATATCAAATTATCCTCCTGATAATAATCCTTATAGAAATTTCAGTTTCTTTACTACCTGATGCACCCTATATATGAGCATCAATATACTCATAATTCACATCTGTTTACATCCTTACACAATTACAAGAGAGAAAATTATCAAAAAAACAGGTTATTAAATACGCAGTCGAACTAGATTGTTTAAAAAAAGAGATTGAGACTGCATAAGCAAGAAAAAGGAAACGAATAGATATTCAAGAAGCAAGTCTTGCAACACCATAGCTACCCCTCAAATCACAATTGGATGAACAAGGTAATCAAATGATCACGATTCAGTGACCCTAATATGGAAACAATCAGCAGCCTGGGAGATGCATCATACATGCAACTGCTAACCAAGACAAGCAGGCACATGCTCATGCAAACAAAATTACAATTCAAGACCACCATGAAAAAATGTACAATTACCTGTCTGCGCAAATGACAGGAAGCAATCTTAAGAGCAACTGCAACCGAAGCGACACAGAAGCTCGCAAAGCTGCAGGGGATGGTGGACCAGAATCAGCTGCTCCTGCTGCACGCCTAGCTAATCCAGGACTGCCACCCCTTATACCTTTGCGGCTATTTCCCTTGCTTGTGGGACCTTCAACTCCAGAAGGAGTTGGTCCGGCTTGCTTATTTGTCCCACGAGTAACTGGACTAACTTGTTGCTCAATATTACCCAACTGCTTGATCAAATCATTTGCAAATGCATTGCGCGACTCATCAGAACTTTGATCTATACATGGAAGAAGTAATTCAATGAGAGCCCTCTCTGTCACATGCTGCTGAGTGACATTGTAGCTTTCAATGTCCAATGTTTGAGTGGCCCCTTTCCCATACTTTTTCGAGTCTGTTCCCTCTTCAACCATCTCACCCTCTTCAAGGGAGGCGACTTCAAACTTTCTCTTATCTCCCCTGTTTGTCATGGGATCAGCATCATAACTACACCATCCCCATGGCTTCCAAAATTGGGTCTTGATTGAGAGACCCTTACTCTCAGCAATATTAAGAAGACGTTGTCTAATGGATTTTCGTCCATAAAGAACATCAGAACCACCCAGGAACCATTTGACCTGCAACAACATAGAATCTGCTAGTGATCTCCCAAAAAGATGAACCACATCCGAGAAAAGGGGGGCAGCATCAGGTCTAACTAATAACCTCGTAAGGATGATCTCAATGAAATATTTCTCATTCTCGGAGGCAGCAACCTTTTCAGGACTAGGCAATGACGACCGAATGGCATCCACTAAAGACACATCTTGATTCTCAAGTTTTTCAATGAGGGCTTGTTCACTCAAAAGGAGCCTAAGCTCTACCCACTGCCAATGAAATTTCGCAGGTTGCAGGGTATCTAAAATATGTACAAGCTTATCTACAAGCTTTGTTTCATGCTCTGCAAATTGGACTTTAGATTCACCATGTCCAAAGACCTGATTTGCTTCAACCTGTGTAAATGAAGAGTGCGGCATCTTACAATCCATTATGGCATTTAGAAAAAGCCTTGCACGTAATGGAATAAAAGCCTTGGATTTTATATGCATGTCCGAACCATTTAGCTCTAGCATGGCTGCAAATTCAGCATCACTACCATCTGCAGCTACAAGATCATAGAAACCCTGACTATCTCTCAAACACACATCACGAAAAGGAGAGTGCTTTATAGCATCACCTATAGCTGTTGTTAAAGATTGATATGATTGGTTAAAATCATCCCGGGCTGCAAAGCTAGTGCTAAGAAGGAATGGCCGCCACATAACAAAAGCAAATATTGAATAGGCAGGTGGAAAAACCAAATCAAGAGGGAGTATACGCTGCATCCTCGAAAGAGCTATTACAGAGGGTTCACCCAAGAGTTCCACGACCAATCCATCAGAGACTGTTCTGCAGTTTCCAATGAGAAGTCTAAACCAATGCACATAAACTTCAAGCGAGTTATCACCCTTAAATGCCCCAGCAGAACGAGCATTGCCATTAGAGTTGGATCTACTACTCCTTACAAATTGAATTACATCCAACCTTTCCTTTAACCTGAATACGGTCACCAATCTCTCCAAGCTAGTAACACCTTGAACAACCGCCCCGACGATTAGTGCAGAAACAGCAGCTGCAACTTTTGTTGTCCTCCCAAGAACTACTCTACTATTCAAAATGTCATTAGACATATTAGTGTTTGAATCATGGGATTCAGGGGAGGAGTGATATTGATTTCGAGGGGCCTTTCCAGGAGCAAAAACCCCAGCAAGAGCAGAATAAGCTTCTGTCGCAAGAGCTACCTCAAACACACGGGTTTGGCGCTCTCCAAGAGCTTCCTTAAGGAGGCATAGGCAACTTATATGGATACGCAAAATACGCCTAGCAAAGTTCAAGGAATCAGTGGCAGATGGAAAGGTTGAATAGCTACCCCCCGCTCTAAAATCTGGAACCTTTGCTATAGTTAGCCCTACATTACCCACAATAGCAGAAATGGCAGAAGACACCAAAGATGGATCCCCTTCTTGAGCAGCACCCCCAGTTTGCCTAATGCAGTCCATCAGTTCTGTAATTATTTTTTGAGATATCTGATATCCATCGTCCCATTTATCAACAGGAGGGCCTTTAGGAGCACCAGCAGCAAAGAGCTTTCTCTCTTTCCCAAAAAAATACTGAAATGCATCATCAACATTCACATTTCGTTGCACAATTTCTTTCATGTTTAAACCCACCCTGGATAACCGAACCCCACTAATCTTTTGGCGGAAAAAATCATCAAGATCTTCGACTCCGGCTGGAACACCAAGCGGAAACCCCAACTCTCCATCCACTGACTGTCCAGACTCAAGTTCAGAAAGAAGTCTCTTATCGCATGTTGGCTTGAAACTCTTTTCCCATTCAATGACACTAGCTACATTGCTGTATCGCTTCAATAAATACCGACTGTATGCTAAGGCAGCTGAACCTGAAACTCTTCCATTAGATGCCACTATGGCTGAAGCACGATGCATTGTAACAGACAAGACTTCTGGAATAAGATCTGTAGCAATAATTATGTTCTCATACCTGAACCAAATCCATTGTTAGGAGACAAAACAGAATCTAAAGTAGAATGCTTAAGGAAAGTGTTTATGTCAAGTGACAAGCAGATAAGAGGAGAAATTTGATGGGGCACATACTACTAAAAAGTATTAGACAAGGATGTTGATGATGATGTAAGTACACGTAATTTTTTAAAATTTGAACAAACAGCTTCCAAAGATGGAGTATTTGCTTTCATGAAAACTATTTCATACAGGATTGATAAGAGTGTGTTTCTAAACAACTTTAATTCAGGTGCAAGGTTGCAAATAGAAAGAACAAGTGTATTAAAAAAAATGAAAAGAAAAGGGGGCTAAACTAATTTGAATGTGGTTTGTACAATAAGCTCTCAAGATTTTAACTTCATTTCGCTTATTCTATCTACTTCCAAAAGAATAAAAAAGTGAACCTCATGCCTGCACAATAAAAGTCATTTTTTAAAGCGAAAAATGACAAGAGGGAAGGATAAGTAAATCTGCAATCATATAAGAGAAACAGACTTATCTCAACATTGTGTATAAAATTTACAGGATATAAAGATTGAGAATGCACCTTCGGAGTGATGATACCAGAAATGCCTCCCCCAATTCACACACTTGATTTTCAGCATTTCTGGGCAACAGCATAATGTTCCTCCCACTATGGATTGGAGAACTAGGCCCACTAACCTTTGGCAGCAACCAAAGGAGAAACTTGACTGCCGAAACTAAATCATTTGAAACATCCATCAAATACAGTGCAGCAGAAAGTTCATCCTCACCAAGCTTCCACCGCATGGAGCTCCTATCATCAACAGATGTGAAAGTCCTACCAAATTGGCCAACCTTCGCAATGGTCTTTTCAGTCTCTTCAACAAGTTGCCTGATAACAGTCATCAGCCAAACCGTAATTGTCCTCTTCTCTACAAATCGGAGCTGCTTTAAAGCTTTTCCAATTGAAACAATATCCCCACCATGGTTCATTTTGGTTGGATCTATAGACTTCGGGGTTTCCCCCTCAACTCCACTTTTATGATGTGGACAGCTTACTTTATTATTGCAGACATGACTCGTAGATGCTCCCTGGCTACCTTCAATCCTAGCAGCTGCAAGTTGAGCAAGACTTTGAGTTTTACGAACTATCTTCTGCCGGTTCCTAGAGACCTGTTTGGTTGATTTAACAGGTGGATCAACCTTCAATGGCTCCAAGGACTTAGGTCTCTTCCTCATCCACCAGGTATCTTCATCATCTGAAGGAATTGAAAATTTTCCTTGGATGCATGAGCTCCTTTCGCCACTCACTTTTTGCCTCTTTGCTCTTCTGCATTCTTCACACCCAGGGGTGCCTTCTCCCAGATCCATCTTGTTATAGATTGACCCAAAAGGCCTCTTAACACTCCCTTGGGATTCATCAAGCCCCGTATCTGTTGTTGGGGATGAAGTATTTGGGAATTGCAACAGAACTGATATTGCTTCCTTTAGTTCTTCAACATCAGCATCAGTCTTGCCACTTTTACCGGGCAGTACGTTGGGTGATGGCTGAACAGCCTTCCACTGATCCACAGAAACTGGCAAACCACCATCTTTTCCAGGAATGGGATAATGCTTTTGCTTCAGAACAGACACATTTTTATTTTGATTGGAGAGAAGCCCACGAAGTATTAGACGGCGCTCAGTTGAGTAGAAGTTCATGGCCTCTGAAAGTTGTGGCCCTACAGCAATCCCTGCTTCTTCCAGAGCATCATGCATTAAAAGCCCAGGCAACAGCTTCAAGATACGAAAATGCCTCTTCCACCGGTCTACTTCAACCACCGGTCCATTCATATCCATAATCCCACTAACTATCAGCTGCCTAACATAAGCATGAGGATTAAAAATACCAGACCGGATAAGTTCAATTAGAAGTAGTTGAAGGCGCTTCAAACCTTCTCCTTTGCCTGCTTCATGTTGATCAATCCAACACACTATGATATCGTGTAAAGGACCAGGGCTCTCAAATATATTTGACGATTTCATACTTCTTTGATCAACATTTTTTGGTTTAACCTCACAGGAATTTCCCAAGGAAACTCTGACAGGAAAATTGTTCTGCTGGGTAGAACCTTTTGCAACACTACTGACTCCAAGGACGCTGTCATTCTTTCGTTGAGTTGAACTTTGCAAATCTCTTATCTTTAGCTTCAAAAGCCTAGTAACAACAAATACCTGAGAGAAATCCTTTCTGCCAGTAAATTTCAGCTCACAAGGTGGGGCAGTCCTAAAATCCCTGAAATCACATGTTGCCCACTCACAGAGGAAAAATACAGAGCAAACAAATGACAAGTTGGCAGTCCCAATCCACTTCAATGAAGTTCGTAAACATGGACTAACTCCTGCAATCCAACTTTCACTTGCAACTCCATCACAAGGATCTTCAAACAGAAATCTATAAGCCCCTCGAACATCTCCCTGCACAAGAGATCTATCTAGGGCCTGTACAGCTTTAGCTATACTATGGCCTGGATAGCTAGGCCTTGCAGCCTTTGCAAGATTTTCAGCACATTTCTGAATACATGAAACAATACGATCAAAAGCCAGACACTGATATTGAGTATCGAAAACTTTGCTTCTTAATGCAGAAGCAACTTCTGCTGAAACATTTTTAATCTTTCTTTCATCCTCAGACATCTTTGGTAATCCACCGTTTGAAACATAGGAAACTACAGACGATGGTAGAGGAAAGCAATCCAAAGCTACAAACGTATCAGGCACAGCAAGTATTAAATAGCGAAGCATCTCAACCATAGAAGACACTATGTACGCCCTACGGGAGTTATCTACAAGATCTGATCCACCTTGAGAAGGTTCAGCAATGAAACGAACAGCTACTCTCACAAGATTGCGCACATATGTTTGAGATAAAACAACAGTTTCCAGAACACCATATATAATAGGCAAAAACAACTGCATAATCTCAAGCAATTCTTTATCCTGCAAGAGAACAAATATGAATATAAGAGGCATACTACGATAATTTAAACCTCAGTAAACAGTGTTTAAAAAAATAAACACATAAAAAAGTAATACCTGTAGTTGACTTAGAACCCACTCAATGATGAGTGTAGGAAGAAGCAGCCCCTCGGCATGATGCCATTGCAGAAGCCGCACCACATACCACCACTTGAAATGTACGGAAGGCTCCTCACCATCAAGGACTGCTGATGCTGGATCATTCCTTTGTGACGCAGCATATAAAGTTTGTGGTGATCTATCTCTGTTGTTTGAACTGGAATGAGATTTATTTCTCGAGAATAACTCATCTAGAAGGTACTGCAGATACTCAATAATATCTTTTGTCCAAAGCTCTGTGCGGGACAACTGAGCTTTATCAGATGTCCCAGATGATAAACTGGTAGAACCTGGCCTGACCTGCAGAAAATACAGAAATAATATGGTGCAGTGTCAGCTACTTTCCAATATGAGAAGTATTGGCAAACAGGTTATGATCAAAACCCAGTTCTGTTATGATTGTGCGGGAATACCTACCTGATTAAGATAAGTTACTTTAATAAACCAAGTTGCTCTCAGCAATGGAACATTATTCCTTGTAAGAACCTCAAACAAAGATCTTTTCCTATACCCATGAGGGACATGATCAGCCAATGAACGCAAGCGCTTGTGTTGTTGTGATAGACCCTGGAAGCGAATGAGAAATATATTATAATCAGATTATAAACAAGAATAAATACAAAGACTTATCGAGTCATCGAATTCAACAACAAAACCAACTTAGTATTTCATGGGAGACCCTCCACCAGTTTTTGGGGGATACCTCTTCATCCTTATCAAATTCTCACCACTATGTGGCCATACTGGGTTGTCATCATTTTGATGAACCCTTGTGTCTAAAAACATTTGACAAGTTGATTGGGTATAGATAATAAAAACTGTGGCCCTCATTTTGCTGCCCTCAGCAAGACATTAAGATGTTTGGCAAGAACCAAGTCACCATATCACAAAGCTTCTTCTTTACATAAGTTGACAGTGTAACCAAATGGGTAATAGCTACTAGCTAGTTCTATATTTCAAAGTTTCTCAAGCAAAAGTGCGCAATTAGAAAGGAGTGCACGGTCTATGCCTTTAATCTTTCTATACAAAAATAAGGTTAACACTTATTAGAAGCAACTATGTATTCAAGAAACTAAAAGGCATACCTCAATCCATTTTTTTCGCAACTCTTCACCACAGGGCTTTTGTTCAGGAAAAACACCTGGCTTTGACAACAGTGAATCAACAAGAGGAACACCGTACACTTGACCAGCCTGCCATGCAAAAAAAAAATAAACATACAGCAGTCCATAATGTGACATCAGTCATATAGCACCCCCCAAAGCACTTTAATGCAAAAGAATATGGCAATATGTATTTTTGCGGCCAAATAAATTTCCTAAACTAAAAAAAAAAAAAAAAAAAATCTGAGCCAGGATAAACTACCTTCCTCTTTTGAGCACGGGATTCATTGATAGCCCTAAAACGTTTTTTGATGGCCTGCAAATTAAGACAACCCAAAATATCATATAATCTACTAGTATTGAAAAATATATGAAACCAAAGAAAGTGGTAGACTACTTCACTATCAAAATAGATATAGCCCACACAACTTTCCAAACTAAATGAGTACCTCTTTGCACCTGAAGACAAGAGGCTTGCTAAAAGCTTGAGCCTGACTCAGAGAAAGCTCTCTAGATTCCTGGAAAATTTGGCAAGCGAAGTCATCGTAAACACCCATGTGTTTGGACCCACAAAAATTGCAATCACAAAATACCGTAATAAGATTAATAGTAATAATAATTATTGTTATCCAATACGAGCAGACCATATAAAAATGGCCTTCAGCATTAAAATATGCAGCATAAATGCTTATAAATTGAAAAAGACAAAAAAAGACTCTTCAAAAAAGTGTAGAAGGATGCTCACAAATGGTTATAAGGAATAAACTTCGGTGGGTTTTTGTGAAGAGACAACTATATTGGGTTTTCAGATAGGTAGTCTTTCTTAAGAATTAAGAGCATCTTGATATATTTCAACCAATTAGTAGAACATAAAATTTTACCTCAATTCCTTCAACAGTCTCTCTGTATCCAGCTTGCACATATTCCTTGGTAAGAGTCTCCTCTGGGCAATTTGGCGTTTGGGGGTGAAAGTCAGGTGGCCCAAGTCTAACATTAAATAAAATGGAAATGACTTATAATTGAGAACCACAATCAGCAGACATAAATTTATGAACAAAAAATATAAAAATAAAATAAACATAACATTTTGAAAATAACATAGAAGTTAGCACATCCAGCAGTAAAAAACTCCTGCAACATGTTTCATTTAAGTATTATAATAAAATAAAAAAAGAACTCGAGACTGTAACAGCACATAAATTCTCATCTTTACAGATATTTCAAGAAAAGGGCACTAATATTTGTGAACATTACCGGGAATTCAAAGGGTCTTTATCACACTTCAATTTGTAAGGGTTTAACTGTGATGTGCGCCTGCATAGTTGAAAACAGGTCACCAAATTTTATAACAAGGAAACAGTCAACTTATCAATAATCAAAAGACTGAGTAACTCCGTATAAGAAAAACCTAAGTTATACAACCATTATAGAGAAAATATAATATTGGAAATGTTAGAAGTTGCAAAATTTTGAGCCAAACTAGACTATAAATGATGACATAATAAATTTCATTTAAATTTTTATGAAAAACACACTATTCATTAAAAAAATAGAAGAACTAGACAATAAATACCATTGAAATTAAATTTACAGTATGACCTAAAAGGCTAAACAAAGACTTTTTTCCATGAAAGAGAATGCAATGCAACATATTTGTGGAGCAAATTTACCTAGAAGCTAGAGGTACGTTAGGCAATGCGGCAGATTCAGCTCGGGTAGAATCCCTCCCTGATGTCCCACCTATGGTTGTGTTGTTAACTGCACTAGTGCAGCTAGTGCCACGATACATTTGTATTTCTCCCAACTATCATCGGCATACTGTGCCCAGCATCGAACTGCTACAAGAAGCTGCCAAACTAGACCGCTAAAATCTTGGTTCCCCCGTTAATTCTGATGAAAACCATCACCAGAAGAAAGTACAGTTACATTAGTTTAATGCAGAAATACAAATTTGAGATGATAATGGATGCAACCTGCAAGGATTCACTTCATGAGTGTAACGTATGCAAATATTATCAGTCATAAGCTACATAAGGATTCACCTCATGAGTATAATGTATGCATATATTATCAGTCATAAGCTACATAATGCAAGTTGACATTCCTTCAAGGCAAAACTCTTTTCTACTAAACATGACATACTCTTTCAGACCCTATGATGAATCGCATGGTATGAATAATGTATGAACTTCAAGCCACAATTCTAGAATTATATATGTATAATATATATATATATATATATATATATAGACGAGACAGATGGAGTATGGAGCAAAAGATGTTTAGTTCTGAGAAACAAATTACAACGAAGATGGATGATTCAAAAAGTGTGATTCAAGTACAGAATCTATTTGTTGCTGATTAGTTATTAGTCTATTACCTAATCCTACAAATAATGTTGAAAATTTGACTTTTAAAGCTTCTCATGAAATAGTTTGGAGTCCCAATATGAAGGAAAAAAAAACACCACCTCTACTAAAACAACTAACATATAGAATTTTACACAGGCATGTTCAGGCATAACATATCTAAGAAATGCCTAAAGTTTTCATTTGCTCTCGGCGAATATTAAGTTCACTTGGGAGCATTCAAACCTAAAATGAGACGTGCGCATTTGCTTAAAGTTGCCAAACTTGATATAATGAACAAAACGTTAAATTCCTAGAGCACCTAATAAAATCTTTGGCCTCGTAATTCGCAACCCAGTTTCGTAAAGTTCATATCATTCACATTACAAATATACGTAAATAATAAGTCCCAAATTTCAAACCACATGGCAAAAAAAAGCAACAGAACTTAACCCAAACATTTCGATCTGCAATTCTTTATCTAAAATACATTAGAAATTCCAAATATTTAAACTGCAAGCTCAATCGGTTATGTGCCCAGAATAGAAACACAACAATTTTCAAAACAAAGTAATATTAACAATACCAAACCTAAGAACTAATACAACCCTAAATCTGCTATTGAGCCAAAGAATTTCAAAGAACCCTAAATCCGAGCTAAGTTCCAAACGGTACTGAAACAAATTCGCATTCCGAATCATCGAATCTAACACCAAAAGCACCATAAATTGCAGGTAGGGTTTTGAACAAAATACCAATTTCCACACGGGAGAGCTATTGCGGGAGCTTCCCTAATTGGGTTTTCCAGCAGCAAGTGAGGCTAGGGTTTTTATGGCAATGGGTGTAAAAAAGGCGAAGACTTGGGGACCAAACTGTATAATAAAATAATGAAAAAGATTTGGGATTGCAGACGCTTGGCTCTGAAAGGTTTGAGATTCCAAGAGGAAGGAGATGGGTTTTAGAGAGGGAAAGTTGTAGAGAGAGAAAATTGGGAAGAACTGAAGAAGGGTTGAGGAGTTTGACTCTTTAATCTTGTTGCTGATGATGACGATGATACGTCTGTTGCTTCCTGGGTTAGAATAAAGAGGAAAGGATGGGCAATCTGGAGCTAGTCAAGTCATTATAAAATTATTTTCTGCATTTTTTACCTTTTGTTCCAATTTTGCCCTTGCCTTTCTTCTTTGATTTTGCTAGATTTCTGCAGAATGGCAACTTTGGGGGGGTATAATGGGGATAAAGTTGGGATACCCTAACTAAGCTGAATAGAAAATTGGTGTGTGTTTTTCTGTGATTTTAATAGAAAATTGGTGATCTGCATCCTCATGTTTAGGATTTGGTAAGAAATATACAAAATTTAAACGAATTTATGGTTTGATTTGATCCACATCCACGCCAAGATTAACATGATGCTCATAATTAATGCTTCATCTTTACATGGTAGATTTCTTTCTCTTATGGTGGGTTGATGGACAGATGGTCGAAAAGTGAAATAATTAAGTCGGTAACTGAGTTAGTTGATTCGACAAGTGAGTTGTTACACACTTTAGAATTGGTTGGATTTTAGGGAAAGAAAGTAACAATTTTCAAACATTTTGTTTGGTATTCTTTAATTTAATTACGCCTAATGTTGAAGAAATTTGCAAGACAAATTAATTGAAGGATTAGTATTATCATGTGTTATGCATCTCAATATTCTACTAAAGTTTTCACCAACAAATTTTGTTACTTTTCAAGGTCAAAGTATGGAAGGTAAATACTATTTTGGATTTAGTTATTCTCCTTGGTCCCTAGGATAATATTAGAGCTTCCACAATGAGTGACTATATGGAGTTGAAAAAATTGTGAATATAACCTTATTTATAGCTTCAAGGACTTTTTGGGGGTCTAAAAAAATCTTTCTCAACGAGAGGCTAATACCTTTCTAACTCTATATGAAGCTACATATGTATTTGTATAGTAATTTGATTATGCCAGTAACTTTATTTTTGTCTTAACTTTTCTTAGGTTGATTTTGGACGTGTTATCTTAAATTTTGGCTTATTTTTAGCTACACCCACTAGAACTCCATTTTAATCTCACTTTGCTCCCTGTAACTCAAAAGTCGTCACTTTATTTCCTAAAACTCAAAATTCAATTCACATTGCGTCTTGCCCCCTAGAACTCGATTTTGATCTCAGTTTGCTCCCTGAAACTTGAAAGTTGTCTCTATAAAACTCAAAATTCGCTCCACATTACCTTAAGATATATTAGTTTCTTAAATGGATTTGATTTCGATGAGTCAGGCTAATCGATTTCTTTTTTATTTTTTCGCATCTCTTCAATTTCTTTATACTTAATATTCTCTGATTGTTGAATGTTGACCCATAATGGATACTTACAATCAAATTTATTCCACATGTGGCATATTGAGTGTTGGGTCCCTCATATGTTTTAGGAGACGACCTATAAGTTTCAGGTAGAAGAAAAAGTCCACAAGTTAAAGTAGAACGAATTTTGAGTTTCAAGGAATAAAGTGATGACTTTTAAATTACAGGGGGCAAAGTAAGATTCAAATGAAGTTCCAGGGCCGTAGCTAAAATAAGCCTAAATTTTTCTTATGAACTTTTCAACCTAAAAAAACTCAAATTCTGGCGAAGTTAGATTTTATGACTTATGCACCGTTGGATTAGATTCTCTTATCTCAAACTCAATTGTTGGTTTGTTTCTATGAAATCAGACAAAATAAAATTTTATTTCATAACAACCATTGGATTTGTTTGTTTACGCTTTCAAATAACAAAATTGTAATGCCCTTACAATTTAGATTATGTTGTTTATTTATGTTTTCAGTTTAGGTCTCTCAACTATCACTATTAATTGCATCATTTTTCAATCTAGAAAATTAAACACAAAGCACAATATCTTTTTATTGATCAATAACACAAAACAATAGTCTTTTGTTTATGTTTTCTTAATAAAAAAAATGGTTAAAAAATAAATCCTTGAGATTATTATTGGAATTAGAAATCGAGCCTACCCATTTCTAAACTAAAAAAAAAAAAAAAAAAAGACTGGGTCCTCAATTGTTACGAGTCCCTTGATTTTTGGGGTTAGATATAGCCTAATTTTTTGCTACCTAATGAATGAAGTTGTTAGCTCATATGGTGGATGTAACCCCATTTTTTTGCCCATTGAATATGAATTTTTTTCACTAAAGCTACAAAATGTAGCAGCCTCAAAAAGGATAAAGCTTCCATCAGGGATTCTCTTAGGACACCATCCTAAATGGAGGGTAGTGATGTAGCTTTCCATTATATGCCCTAAAAGCAAGTCCACCTGTTATCCAAAGGGCAAGGTAAGAGCTATCAAATTGCCCTTTAGTCCAAAAAACCACTTTCAGCTGTTCATTTATGTGGAGGGCAATTGGTGGGTCATGTAAAGCCCGCCAACTGCCTTTGCAATTCAAGTCCAGCCTTGCACCAGCGGACAAGCTGACGTCGATATGACATTGTACCAGTGGAACTAGGTGTGATCTAACCACATGTGTGCGTTCTTCAGCTTGAGCAGGTGCTTGATCTTGTATTATAGATATCCAGATCTTGGACCTTGTGGAGCATCTCTAACATCAGCTTATTGCAGAGGTGGGAACCAATGAACCTTCTGGCTCTAATATCGTTATCGGCAGATTGTCATTTAGAAGAAGAAGAGATAGAGTTTGGGTGGTAAGAGGAAATTGGGTGGTGGAAGGGATAGGGAGAGAGTTTGGGTGTTGGAGTAGAGAAAGTTTCTTGGGCTTTATGGATTTGGTGAGAAAATTAGGTGGTGGGAAGAGGAAAGGGAGAGAGTTTCGTCGAAGAAAAAGAATATGGAAGAAGTAAATAGGAGGTCAATATGTATTTAAAATTATTGGAGTAAACACCCTTGCACATATAAATAATTTAAAAAATATATATTTGTGAATAACAATTGCCTTTGTTCTTGCCTTGCTCTTACTGAACGGATGGACTTACAAAAAAACAATTATCTTTTAAGAGAGCTATTTACATATCATTTCCCTTGCTTTGCTCTTGCCCTTTCCAAACAGTTAGACTTCCCTTAGATGACTATATATGTCTCATCCTTGGAGATGTGCATGCATTTGGTTAATATCATACCTTTTTTATAACATACTTCCACTAATGGCAATGAACTTTTAGGCTTCCTTTCTCCATTTGTAGCATGAGAGCTTACTTTCAAAGCGCGAAAATGCAAAATTCTGCATGCGTGCAAATAAACACACACACACACACACAGAGACATATATATATATATATATATATATATATATATATATATTAGGGCATTACATATTGATTGTCTAATACACAAGTTGACATGTTTTTCATAATAATTGATCAAATAATCAAGATCAGCATGTAAAAGTGTGGATGTGAATAATAATTGATTAAATTATCAAGACTAGCAAGAGAAACAGTAAATATAAAAAGAACTTTGTATTTGGAAGATTAATCTAAAAACAACATTTGTATGGAAGAATTTCTCCAATTATAGTAGAATATTTGAATTCCCTAAAACTAAAATTAATTGTCTGAAGTGTCACTACAGTCGTAGCCAAAGATTCACCCTTACCTAATAAAACTCCTTTTGACGCTATGATAAGTTTTTAAAACCCCTTCGTGACCTGCCATAGGAGTAAAATGGTGCTTTTCAGAAAAACGTTATCTATGTGATAATTGGATATAGCTGAATCCACACTTGAAACTTGATCCTGCAAAACTCTTTTCACTTCACTTGCCATTTGTGAAATCCATAGATCTTGTTCTAGACTCATCTTGAGCTTATCCAACCACCCAAAATATGGATGTGAAATGGCTTTGCACAATTGACCTTGAATTTCATCTTCCAAATGTCTTTTAGGGAAGATAGAAGATCCTAGAACCCTAGGCAATGCATCAGCCACATTGTTATCAACTTCAGACTTATATTGGATCTCATAATCAAATCTCAGCAACTTTGCCACCAATTTTATGAAAGAGAGTATTTTCTCTCTGATTTAGGAAGTAATTCAAACTATTATGGTCAATTTTGATCATAAAGTGGCGTCCTTGGAGATAGTTTTGCCACTTCTTGATGGCATAGACAATGGCAATTAATTCTCTCATATGTAAAGAGTGCTTGGTTTCTAGTCCTAGGGTCTGACTTGTAAAAGCATTTGGTTTACCTGTTTATTGCAAGACAGCACCAATGCCATTTCCTAAAGCATCGCTCCAGTTCAAAGGGAGTGGAGAAATCAGGTAAAGTTAGGACCTGATGAGATGTCATGACATACTTGAGGTGTTGAAAAGCCTCATGAGCTTCTTGAGTCCACTGAAACCCATCATTCTTTGTCAATTGATAAAGAGGTTGACATATTTTACCATAACCAAACACAAAATTTCTATAGTATCATGTGAGTCCCAAAAACCCCCTAAGCTCTTTTACATTTACTGGAATTGGCCATTCCATTATAGTTTGAATTTTTGTAGGGTCAGCTGCCACAACATTCCTAGATACAGTGTCCCATATATTCTCTTACTTTGCCCATAAGAATAGTTTGCTTCTTCACATACAACTGATACTTCCTTAATAGCACAAATGTCAACTACAAGTGAAACAAGTGGTCCTCCCAATTCTTGATGTACACCTATTCATCATCAAAGAACACTGATATAAACTATCTGAGGAATGGTTTGAAGATGTCATTCATTAGACTCTAGAATGTGGTTGTGGCATTGGTTAATCCAAAAGCATCATAAAGAATTCATATTGTCACTCATTTGTCTAGAAATACAGTTTTTTAATGTCTGAGGGGTGCATTCCTATTTAGTAGTACCATACTCTCAAATACAACAAAATCCCTAGATTAGAATTATAGAACTCTTTGTCTAATTGTTGAAGAGAAACTTCTTGCACATAAGGTTGTGGTAATAAATTGTTTTCTAATTTGTACTTCTCTATCACCTCAAACTTCATAGTAAGAGGTTAAAAGTCCCACAACATTGGACTCACTAAAGATAACCATTGCACCCCCTATACTATGTCACATTCTCCCAAGGGTACAAAATAAAGATCAGTA